GAAAGGAACTCTAAGTCTCAAAGAGACAGCTGCACTGTGTGTTCATCTCAGCATCATTCCCATTGCCAAGCTGGAGAAACTGATAGATGAATGAACGGAGGAATGTGTCCACAATGGAATATCACCCAGCCGTGGAAGGAGGAAAATCCTGCAACCTGGTGGGACACTGCACTAAGTGGAATACTCCAGCAAAGAAAGACAAATGCTGCTCCGACCCTCAGAGGCAACATGAGAGAGAGTCAGCTCACGGAGTCAGAGGGTAGAACAGTGGTTGACAGAGGGGAAATCCCATTGGGCAAATGAAGAGATGTCGGTCAAAGCACACAAAGCTTCAACTGTGTGAGTGGAATAGACTGTGGAGACATAAAGTGCCACACAGTGACTACAGAAACTACAATGTATCCTTAAAATCTGCTCTGAGGTAGATTTTAAATGTCCTCACTAACAAAAATAACTACAGGAAGTACAGGATGTGTTCATCAGCATCAATATGCTGATCATCCCCCCAGTGTACGCATGTCAAAGCATGACATTTGGCCCAACCCAGCTATATAATATTCTTATGTATAAAATCCAAGTTGCACACCTTAAATACACAATTTGCATTTTTCAATTATACTTCAATAAAGCAGGGAAAAAGGAAACCACTCACAAAGGACCGCATATTATAGGATTCCATTTATGTTCCAAATAGGCAATTTATAGAGACAGAAAAGTAGATTAGCGGTTACCTATGATGGGAAGGAGAGCCGCTAGGGAATGGCTGCTAATAGATAAGACGTTTCTTTGTGGGGTGATGAAAAATGTTTTAAAATTAGATTATGTTAATGGATGCATAATTTTGCAAATATAGTAAAAACAATTTAATTGCGTACTTTACAGTATATAAATTATGCCCCCAATAAACCTGTTTAAACCAAAGAAAACATAAATAAGTTGTCTTTTAAATGAGTAAAATGAGATCAACAAAGTTGCTTTATCATATATTGTGTTGCACTCCGTGCAAGGAGTAGTGGAAGGAATTGTAATAAAAATCTGTTTGGCTGGGCAAACCAAAGAAGCTGCTCCATGTGCACTAGCAAGCATCTACCTGGCATCTAGACCATGAACTTGATAGTGTGTGTGTGTGTGTGTGTGTGTGTGTGTGTGTGTGTGTGTGTGTGTGTGTGTGTTTCTGGTTCCGATATTTACTTCTCTATTCAGCCCACTTTTATTCAGGAGAAGTAAGGGACATCAACCTTACCTAGGAATGGGAATGAGGGACTCTTTGGCACAGGGAGATCGAAAGACAGTAACAGTGCGCTCAGAGTACCCATGCATCAGGATTTTCATACCAAACCCCCAAATATTATCAGTATCCACATCGATATTTTACCTCAAGGCCCTCATAGGCTGTTTATGATTCCAGGCTTCTCTAGTCAAATAACAGTACACAATGGGTGAGAGGAATGATTGTGTCCATACCTTCTTTTGTCTAACCAGTAAGGTATCTTGGATACTTTTAATTAGGTATATATGGGAAGTGAGATGGGGTGGTGATGTTTTATTTGTGCACCCCAATAAAGCTTATCTGGGGGGTCAGAAGAATAGGACAAGCCATATCCAACCTCACCTCACCAACTCCTCAACCAATCCTGTTTCCTCAGACTGAAAGCCTCTGAGTCCTCACCCCTGAGGGTCTCAGTTGAACTGCTGCTAAAAAGCCTCTAAGTTCCTGGTCCTTACGCCTTATATACCTTTCTGATTCCTGTCATCTCTTCCTGGGATTAAAGGCGTATGTGCTTCCCAAGCAAAGACGTGAGATCTTAAGTTATGGGACTAAAGGTGTGTGCCACCATGCCTGGTTCTTTTTCCAGTGTGGCCTTGAACTCACAGAGATCCAGACCGATCTTTGCCTCCCAAGTGATAGGATTAAAGGCCTCTATGTCTAATCTAGTGGCTGGCTCTGCCCTCTGACCCTCAGGTAAGTTTATTAGGGTGCACAATATATTGGGGGACACAATATATCACCACAGGATGGGAAACGTGCATGTGAATGTAGAATCCAGAAAAGGACATTTGGCTTCCCTGGAGTTAAAGTTACAAAGCAGTAGTTAGGCATCCAACCCAGGTGCTGGGAACCAAACTTGGGTCCTCTGCATGAGCAGTACAAACTCTTAACCACTGAGCCATCTCTCCAGCTCACAGAGGAGCTTACATAATGGGTAGAAACTCTGCCACTCCTACACATTAACCTCCCTTTCTGGTGTGCCTCCCAAAAGCTTTCTTAAATATCACAGAAGCCAATCTTCATAAAGTTCACCTTTAAAATGCTTTTAAGAGTATCTGTATAACTGGAACGTGAATTTAGGCAAAATTATGTATAATTTCAGAAGTAAAATTTGTCATTATGACCAAAAGTCATAAAATACAACTCTTTGATCCAGAGAGTCTTATTCTTAAAATGACTCCTTCAGCAATTACAGTGTGTTTAGCCTGCACCTGGGAAGTTTTTCCTTTGGACGATCATGAGGGAAGGCTAGAAGCAAACTAAACGTCTATGGCTTAGTATTTTTAAATAAATAATAACAAATAAGTCAGAAGAACATTATGCAGTTTTTTAAAATAATGATCCAATAAAAATATAGGTTTCATGCATTGTTATCATTAGATTTTTGCAAATCCTGCACAGAATGTATGTGGCTTCTTCTTGGGACTTAAGGATGTGTGTGTGTGTGTGTGTGTGTGTGTGTGTGTGTGTGTGTGAGTGTGTGTGTGTGTGTGTGTGTACACTTGTAAAAACCATTATAGCACCATTAGGATGTTATTATTAATCCATTATCTATGGACACGTTAATTTGGGTAAATGAGCTGTTAAAGGAAACGGGTCATAAATGAAAAAAAAAAGAGGTGGACACAAAGTCAAACTACAGTGGCCATAGCTTCTTTTGCCAGAGTAGATGTAGCTTTTGCTTTAAATATGTTACAACCACGGGAGGTTTGGAATATCTTATTAATAAAAAGTCCTCATTCGCAGTACCTCAAGTGAACTCTATATATGCCAATTAGCTATTGTACTTCTTAAAAAAAAAAAAAAAAAAAAAAAAAAAAAAAAAGCATGAGCTTCTTGAGAGAAGTTTGGGTCAGGTTACTGAGGCTGCAAAGGTGTCCCATTTGCTGAGTCTGAAAAGTCCTTGTGCGATCTCCTCCAGGTTCGTGAGTCAGCACGGACTGGAGCAGAGGGCTGGCGCAGCTGCCAGCAGCAGGGCTTTGCACAAACGCCAGCAAGTGCCGTTCCCGCGCTTCAGTGGGCCCTGCTGGTCCCCTGCCACGGCCTTAGTCTCGTGGGATTCGAAACTCCCAGATGCAGCTGGAGGGCAGAGCTGACAGTGTAAGAGCCACACACGTGGAAGTCCCTGGACAGTGGAAACAGCTCAAAGGCCAAAGGACATTGCAAATGTGCCCTGTGCTAATTAGACAGACCTAAGACCTGAGACGTGCCATGGCCATGGGCAGTGTTTCTAATTACGGCCACCCATAAGTGTGTGTGTGCTGAGAGGACCCGGCCTGGGAATCCCAGGTCTCCCCGCCTCACAGCTCCGCGGGTCTGCACATGAAAGGTGCCGCCACTATGCTGGCATTGATGACCCATCTGCAAAATACACATTCTATGTCCCACCCTCCCACCCCTGACCCATTGCTTGTTTCTTGCTTGCTCCTCAATCCCTGCGGTTTACATGGGCACTACTGAGCCTCGGTGGCACCGGGACAGCCACTACAAGTCATAATTTCTTCTCTGTACCCAATTGCCTGGGTTTTCTGCCTGACTCGGGGAAATCACTGTAAGGCGCGCACTACCCGGTTGGCGCGTACTACCAGGTAAATCTCTCTCCTGCTTTCGTTCAATCCCATTTGCTCTTTATCGGTCCTTCACGGTCAGAAGAAAAGATCACCTCCACCTGAAGCATTCCAGGTACCCCGTTACCTTTAGGTTACAGCCTGTGGTGGCCCTGAGCAGGTTTGTTGCCTTCTCTCTGCCTCTGCGTCTTTCGGTTTACCACAGGAATAAGCACACCCACCTCACGGACCTGTTGTGATGGTTACGTGGGGGCGGGCTGGGGCTAGGACCGGCTCAGAGGTAGAGCGTTGCCTAGCATGCCCAAGGTCCTGAGTGTGGTCCCCCCCCCCCCAAGCCCCGGGCAAGAAAAATTAAATAAAATAATGAAATAAAGCTGGGCATGAGAGTGTGTGCCTATAATCTCAGCATTCAGGAGACTAAGGTAAGTGAACCTCGAGCTTGAGGCCAACCTGGGTTACAACAGCCTCAAAAAGAGGGGAGAAAAAGAAGATCAGCCCCCTCGATCTCATTTTCCCACCTGTCTTCCACCCTTGGCCATCAGTCGCTGGCACTAAACCGTCCCTGTAAGAGTTCACGCAGTCTTTTAATTCTGATTCCATGGCCGTGGAAGCCTGGCTGAGCATCCCTAATCAAAAGTCTCCACCGAGCGCCAGCATTGCAGCGGTCGTGGAAAATTCCATACCACAAAACTGTTTCATAAACAAAATTATCGAAAAGGTGCAAAATTACCTTAGCTGTGTGTCTCTGGAGTAGACGAAGCATAAATGAATTTTGTGTTTAAACTAGAACCCATCTCCAAACATTATTTTGCATACGCAAATATTTTTTTTAAAAAAATTAAAGCCAAAAGACTTCCGGTCCCAAGTACTTTAGAAAAGGGATACCTTAATGCTATTTACGGTGCTGGTATGGAACAGTGATGCTCATCTGATCATTTAATAAGGAAATGAATGTAAAATCAAAACAATAAAATTCCCTTATAGCCCTGAGTCTATAGAATCTAATGTTGCCTCGGCGTTTTAAGTTCTTGTGAATTCTTCCTCAGTAAATCAGTTCCCTGGCTGGGTGGTCTTATTGACAGACCTCAGAACAATGCAGTGTGTTGATCAGTTCTCTGATGGATATACTTTATGCCGCAGGAGGTCTGGCCACTGTACTATACCTTGGAGTACATCGGTTTCCCGTTTTCATAGTGAATCTCCACGTAGTCAGAAGACAGCAAACCACTGCAAAGGAAAGAAGACAGAGTGATTTCTGCATCCAAATGCTAGAGCTTTAAAAACAGCTCAATTAATGGCTGAGAGGAGCATGGAAACCTCAGGCCTGCAGTCGGGGCAAAGCAGGCTGTGGTCAGGTCTCAACACAACAGCCAGCAAAACAGAAAAACAAAGAAATGCTTCAGTCTACTGACAAAGACAAAACACAGGCCATTTAAGGGAAACCTTTAGATTCAGCACCTGGTGGACCTGTCCATCAAAGCTACCCAACTAAGCTGCATGTCAAAGACAAGCCCTATTAAACACACACGATTATGCTCTAATGGAATTTTTTTTTTAAGTGTGGGTCATTAGGGAGGAAGACAGAAACGAACCGGCAAGCATTCCCCATAAAGGCCAGATAGTAAACGCTGTGGCTCGGCCAGCTGTGTGGTCCCTGCGGCAACAATCAATTCTGCCATCCTATCAACAATATATAGACAAATGAGTGTGGCTGTGTCCCAATAATGCTTTCTTTGTGGAGAACGGTATTTGGATCCCATGCGGTTCTAATGTACTATGAAATAGTATTATTTTGAATTTTAAGATCTATTTAAAAAGGCATAGGGTCATCAAGATGGCCCAATGGATAAAAACACTTGCCACACAAACCTAACAACCCAAGTTCAATCCCCCAGATTCCCACAATGGATGGAGAGACCTGACTGCCGAAAGTTGTCCTCTGACCTCCATATGTGTGCCCTGGCACACAGGCACCTGCATGAGCGCACGGGCGTGCACACACACACACACACACACACACATTCTACATCACACCCAAAACCACAATAAAGATACAAATTAATTTAAAATATTAAGAACACAAACTTGGACGTCAGAGCGGCGTTTAGACCTAGCAGAGTCCATGGATGGCGGTATCGTCACAGGCAGGTTTCACTAACTTGTGTAAAATGAGCTTGCCAAAAATATGAAAGTCACGGGGCACTGTGAAGACTAAACTGATTAAGTTAAACCACAAATACGCAGAACTGAGCCTGGAAGTCAGCACTGGGTGCTCGGCGTTGGGCACCGTGACTGTTACTAAAACGTCGATGTAACTCGGGTTTTTGAAATGCATTCTCCCCCGTTAAAGTAGGAAATAGGCACTTTGTCCCGTAGAGCAGAGGAAGACGTGAGCACATGCCTATTATTGATAAGGACCAAAGCCACAGACCCATGGGAACGGGCAAAGCCTTCTTCTGGACTGCTTGGAGATGCTGACCACATGTACAGAAAGTGTCTAGCAGCTTCCTCCTCCAGGACGTTCACAGCCTGAGACTGCTCCCCTAATAGAGGACCCCTACGGAGACTAACTCACCCCCTACCTCTGTGCTGTACATAACAAGCATGGCGGGGTTCCAGGTTGTAGAGGAGCTGGTACCCCATCACCACAGCAAGCGTGGCACGTCGGATTCCAACTTTTCCACTCACCTGTGTGTCTCTCCTTTCTTTATCCCTTTATCACTCTAGTCAGGTTCCCAGAAACAAGGGTCGTGCGAGGTGCTCCATACCCACCAGAGTGCTGGATTAGGACACCTGGGTGTTGAAGGAGACCCCAGAACAGCGGGGGCTTCCTCCTGGACCCCAGATTAGGCACAAACCACACCCAAACACCTGTTTTCACAGAGAGATCCTTTACAAAGGGGAAGAAAAGTTAAAGTGGCCGCTTTTCTGACTTGGGCAGAAAAACAGCAGCCAATGACCTTGCAGGTGTCATTCTGAAGAGAAAAAGGGGAGGTCTGGGTTAGGATGGGCTAGGGTACAGTGGCAAGGGAGATAAAGGACAAAAGAGAAGGGGGAGGGACAATGGATGGGGGAGGGACGTTTGTCCCAGAGGACAAAGGACTTCATCTGGATAGAGGGAGACAGACATGGCTCATAAGCAAATGGCGGTGTATAAAGGTAAAATGGGAAACCCCAGGTTAGGATGAGGTGTTTAATTTTAATTGGGCACGCTAATTAGGTGGGCCAAAGGGGGCTTTTGATTGCTGGACTTTGGTCGTCAGTCTCCGGAGGAGGAAGTGGCCAGATAAGGGAGTAGACCTTGGTGGCTAGCTTTAGGACTATAATCTAATGGTTTTTAGCAAGGCAGAGGGAATGGGGGGAGAAGGGCAAGGCCTGCCAGAGCCAGGCTTGCCATGCACCGCCATGTTCAAGCTGGCCAGGGTCCCTTCGGGTGTCTGTCCAGATCTGCCACCAAAAGTCACGAGAGGAGTGGCAGCCCACATTTATGGGACACTTAGTCCATCTAGGAAGTATGAACTCATCTCCGAGCCACTTATATGCCCTAAATATGGGTCTCTGTTTCCTCTTCTATAAAATGAAAGGATGCAGCAGACAAATCTTCAGGTCCCTTCCTGCTCAGACAGACTGACCTTTTAGAAGCCATTCTTAACAGTAGGTTTACTTGTAAGGAAACAGCAAACTACTGACCGAAGAAGAGGAGGGCTCTATGATTCTGCATATATTTCAGAGCAATACCTGTTGTATCTGAAGTAACTCCATAGGAGGCTTGGGAATGGGTGATCAGAGCCTGTCAGCAATTAACTGAGAACCTCCTCTGCATCTAGGATGCCCTGTGTGCACCAAAGGACAACTTGTACAACACAGAAATAAAATAAGTGTCTGTGGTGGTTCGCATGGCCCCCATAGGCTCAGATGTTTGACTATTTGGTCCCCAATTGGTGGAACTGTTTGGGAAGGATTGGGAGGTGTGGCCTGGTTAGAGGAGATCACTGGGAGTGGGCTTCGAGGTTTCAAAAGATACATGCACACACTCATTCCCTGTGAGCTCTAGCTCTCTCTCTCTCTCTCTCTCTCTCTCTCTCTCTCTCTCTCTCTCTCTCTCTCTCTTACTTGCAGCCCAAGACGTAAACTCTCAGCTGTTTCTGTTGCTGTCACTTTGCTCCATCATCGTGTATGAACCCTAACCGTTCGACACAGTAATCCCAGTTACATGCTTTCTTTCTAAGTTGCCTTGGTCGTGGTGGGTTGTCACAGGAGCAAAAAGACAGTATCCATACTTAGACATGTTTTCATGTTCACCCAAATGACTCCTGACGAATTCCTCTAAGAAGTCTCTTTCACATCATTCACACCAGCTCTTGGAGCTATTAGTTCATTTAACTAATTAGTTCGTGACAGCTAGTGCTGGTCACCAGGCAAAATAACAGTTTTACAAGGCTTCTACACACTGTGCCTGCTCCCTCTGTCCACCAGAAAAGTCTCTCTTTTTCTCACAACTTATATATACACATGTGTATACATATATATATATGTGTGTGTGTGTGTATGTGTATGTATATATATATATATGTATATATATATATATATATGGTGTGTGTGTGTGTGTGTGTGTGTGTGTGTGTGTGTGTGTGTGTGTGAAGTGTTCAACCTCATTCATTCCTCAGGAACTATCCACCTTAATTTTTGAGACAAGGTCTATCTTTGGACTCTGAGGCTCACTAACGCGGCCAGGCTGACTAGCCAGTAAGCCCGAGGAAGCTTCCGGTCGCCACCTCCTCCAGCATACACCTCCATTCGCAGCTTCTCGTACGAAGATGCTAGGGACTGAAGTCAGGTCCTGGTGCTTATAAGGCAAGAACTTCACCTACCAAGATGTCTCCCACTTAGGATATTTTTAATTCATCAAACGATTACTTCCTTAAGTAGTAATGAAGACAATCACAGGAATTTAGGCTAATACATTCATAAGCTTGTTAGCTACAATTATGCTTCTGCTTTTATACTGCTTTTGGTTTTTTGTTTTGGTTTGGTTTTTGTTTTTTTGTTGTTTTTTTGTTTTAAAAAAAAAACAATAGACTTAAAAGTAAAATGGTTTGTTAATTGCTGTTTTTCTCAAGTCTGGGCCAAAGAGTACTCCTTTGCGTGTAAACAATAAAACAAGAGTTTAAACTGGATTAAAAGACAGAGACATGGAGAGGCTGGGACTTAAGAGTATAGCAACGATACCCGAGGTGGGTGAGGATAATTACAGGTTGAATAGAGGCTTTGTTTTCAGTTAGACAGAGATGGCATGCTGGGTAAAGGCTGCAGGGTGTGGGCATAGCTCACAGGCAGAGAGCGATCCCAGCAAGCCGGGTGGAGAGAAGGCGCTTGGGTTAAAGCCACCAGAGGGTTACAAGGGAGATTTGATAAGGACTTCCTCAATGACACGGGAGGTTATATCAGAAATTTCACAGGGCAGGTACTCCTTAAGTCTCCAGTGACAGGCCCATGTGCCACAACCCAGTTTAGAAACCCTAGCCTAAGAAGAACAAGAAAGACAGGACTGTGACCTCAGAGTGGAGGGGAAAAGGAGTTAGATGGAAAACGTGACACAGGCTTTAGGTGTACGGCGGAAAGGGTGAGAAGCCACACTCAGAGGGCTTGATCAGCCAGCAGGACCCAACTCCCCTCTGGGGAGGCAGCGTCAGATCACGGGACGCAGTTGAACCACTGTGTGGCTGCCAGGGTGTCCATGGGTGTCCACCAGGATCCGTTACCAGCCTGATCAGAGGCATTCCATCCAAAAGAAACAGCTACTCCAAGTCCAGGCCTTAGCAGTCCTAGGGAGAGGTCTCCCTCGTCTTTTATAATTCAGCTTATTAAAAACAAAAACACCAAACACACACAAAAAAAGCATCTGCACTTCATTCACGCCATATCCCAGTTTTCCCAGGCATGAGGGAAATGGAGGAAAGAACAAAAAGAAGACAATGGAAAAAAATTGTCAGAAATAGGGCTGGAGAGGTGACCTAGTGGTTAAGAGCACTGGCTACTCTTCTAGAGGACCTGGGTTCAATTCCCAGCACCCACATGGCAGCTCACAACTCTTTGTAACTCTAGTGCCAGGGGACCTGACACCCTCATACAGACATGCATGCAGGCAAAACACCAACGCACATAAATTAAATTAAAAAAAAAAACTATCAGAAATAGTAAAATGGCTGGTTACAAGATAAATATGA